TCCTCGGATCTGTACAGCTCTAGTTGGCAAGGTGTACATCGTGGAGGTGAAGCGTTACTCCTTAGTCGCCAACACGCTTTCCTAGCTAGTTGACCAGTGAGACGCAGACACAGAGAGTCGACGCGCCGCGGCGCTGCCACGTTGAGGGGAATGGGTCACAGAGCGAATACTGCGAACGCTTTTTTCGTCGCAAATCGAGACTAGCTCTCCACATTCACGTATCCTTAGCCGATATCGCGCCCAGACTAGCAGGAGATTCCTTGCTAGTTCACAGGGCACGATGCGCCTCTGTCATCTTTTATCGATTGGGTCCTGATGCGAATAATTCTGCGTGCAAAGCCTTTCTTTCCTCTGTGACCGCAACGAGGTTCACGACCTAACATCTGAATAGCCTACGTGGGCGGTCTGAGATTTTTATTTCTGCATTAACTGACAAAAGGTGCTTTCGGAAAAGAGGAAATTTACTACCTAATCCTTGGAATTCCATGAGGGATCAAAATTCGAGTAAACATAAAGTCCACATACCTGGAGTATATCCCCATGGTTCATAATAACTTGGAAACACTCCCAGATGACATCCACGAACGAAATCCTCGTAGTCCAAGCCTATCAGTGGTGATACAGATGAGAGAAACTCGGGATGAAAAACTACCTGAAAAGAACATGAGACCATGGAGCCCATAAAAAAATCCATATAACTGACAAAAACAACAAGGAAAAACACCAGAACGGCGCCACCCGGCAGCTTCTCTGCGCGAGATAATCCCCCGGAGACTCTGGTCGTCTGCGCTCTACGCCTAGCATTGAATAGGAGAAAAGACACAGCGGCGCGGCGGAATGATTCCCTCAACTGCGCTAGCGCATCAGCAGCTTATGTAAAATGAGGTAATACAGCTAACAAAATTCCGGAGGATCCAGTCATCGACCAGTCCGCCCAGACATGCGCTCGGCAATCCATGACAACTGATGGCCCGGGAATGGCGTCTACTACCGTATTCAAGGTACGGGCAAGACGATTCTCGTCCCTTTTATTAAGTTCGTAAGGTCAATAACTGTACGATTCCTGTTTCAGTAGATGAACTGTTATCAAGTTCAAGGTAGCCTGTCCAAATGTACATTCCGTGCCCCATAATGGGCAGGGCATGACTGTGTACTTCGTTCCTACGTAATGGCGGTTGCGCTATTGGTAGTGCCATTCTGAAGGCACTCCAACTATATTTTTTAGCAAAAGATGAAATCACAATTGTGACAAATAGAAAAAACAAATGCATCCATTCTGGAACGAAGCATGCAGCCACACCCTCTCCATTTCAGAGTCATGGAGTGTATATGCCGAGCATGCTGTCAAATGCCTTTTGACTCATTTCATCAATTGGGTAAAATAAAGCAGGTTTTCTAGAAATTCAAAGTAATTTG